AGCGTGCACGCCGCCGTGAGGGAGTTCGTACAGTGCCGTGGAGGGGCGGCGCGGGGCGGCGGCCGTTGCGTGCCGCGTGGAGCGCCCAGCGTGTCCGATTGACCACAGCGTGGAGCCACTCGCACACGTCGCCGTGGCTGGCGGCACGTACGCCGTGGTGACGGGGCAGGCGTCGCAGCATTTGCACTTCTTCGACCAGCGGAACGACATCGCCATCAGCCGCCTGAGGCTCGCCAGTGGCGGACGGACGTCGGAGGAAGCACCGGCTGCGGATAAATTTTTCATCGACGAACACGACCTCGTCACGGCGCTGTTTCTTGACCCCCGGGGGAACTTCTGCGTGGTGCGGTGGCGATCCGGCAAGGCGGCCTACTACCACATTCCCCACCGACGTGATGCGGAGCAGCAGCAGCAGCAGCAGCGTCGTCGTCCCCCGTCGCAGGGTTGGCCAGTGGAAGTCGTGGCGGGTGAAGTGGGTGCGGGATGTCCCGAGGGCGAGCTGACGCCGCGGCGATTTCCGCTGCAGTTTCGCGCGAATCTCACGGGGATGTTGCGGCCTTTTCATGTGGAGTGCCTTGCGTGGGACCCAAACAACGCGAGCGACGCGACAACAGGTGATATTATTCTGGGCTCCAGCAGTGGGGGTATCCTTCTTGCGTGTCGGCTGGAGACGCACGGCGTCGTTGCGGCGCGCAAGTTGTTTCAGTTCCCGCAGCCATACAGCAGCCACCCCATTGACGGCGTGGCGTACGTGGCGGCTTCGCAGTCGCCTGACCACCCAAGTCGCCATGTCGTGTTGATCGCCCAAGGTACGCGCATGTTCGTTTTTTCTTCACTCTGGGGAAATGGCGGCACACTTGAGGCGGCGTTTGACGCGAGTCTAGTGGACTGTAAGGGCGTTGTGCCGCATCCCACCGCCGCCTCTTCGTACGCGGTTGCATCGCCGCTGTGTGGTGGGGCAGGTAGCAGTGGTGGTGGTGGGGGACTGATGAACTACATTGGCCTCAGCAGCGAGGCGGCGGCGAGCACCACCGCCTCTTCCACTCCTTTCGTTGCTTCTGCGTCAGTTGAATGCCGGCACAGGGCGCTGTCGAGCACCGTCGCCCCTGCCGAGACGACCGTCGCACACACGGCCCCAGATGTTGCGATGCCGCGTCTTCTCTCCCAGGTGGTTATTGTTGACCCCCGTGAGCTGATTCCCACTCCGCCCTCCGCGTTGCCCGCGTCGCCAGCTGGCGGCAGAGGGGGAGCGAGTAGGGGTGGTGAAGCCGGGCCGAACTCTCTGCCCAGGGTTGCCGCGAATGAACTCCCGCCGGTTTTCTTTTGGCAGTGCGGTGACACGCTAACACAGGGCGTTATCCTTTTGACGGACCTGGCGGGTACGGCGGGGGCGGAGGCGTCGCGGACAACCACGCATGCACCTCCGTCGCTGCGCAAGCACGAGTTGTGCTGTCCCCCGACAATGCGGTCAACTGGACTCACGCCGCCGTCCAACACCCGCGTGCCGCTGAACGTGTGGCGGCAGAGTCTATTGCCTATTGGTATTCTTAGTGTTGTGAGCCTGGCCCGGCTTCTGCAGAACTTCTCCCTATTGCTAAGGCCACAGCAGGGAGGCACGCAGCGACCACCCATGTTTCTCTGCCTGCCTGCTGGGACGGACAAAAATGCGGCAGCCGCGGGCAGCCCACCACGGCCTCTTGGGCTACGTGACGTTGAGCGACTCCTGCTGCTCCGTCACGGCGGGCAACATGGGGGTGGGGGACGTTTTACGTTGCCCAGTCTTGCAGCACCGCCCCGGACGACAGGCCCAGGTCTCACCGCAAAGGGCGAGGGGCCTCGGCCAAGGGAGAGTGAGCTGCAGGCTGCGGAGAAGCTCGTCTCGGTTGCGGTGGGGTATGGCCATATCGTGATCACCACTACGCGCGCCGTGCACGTCTTTTGCCACCTCGCGGCATTGCCGTTGCCGCAGGAGGCGTTTCGGTGGAAGAATGCGCTTGTGTTTACCCGAGAGCTTGTGGCCCCAGCGTTGGAAGACACGACTGCGGGAACTCGGGGCGATGACGCTGTGACGGTCTTCTGTTCCCATGACGTGGGCCGCTCGCAGGTGTTTCATTTGTTTGCCGCCTCGTACATTCTCGACCTGCGACTCCGCCGTCGTCGTCGCCGCTCGCAGTACGTGGCGCAGCTGGTGGATGCTGCCCACCCCGTCGGCGCCGGCACTTTCCAGCGGGGCACCGCTGAGCAGGACGCGCCGGTGACCCCGCAGGGACGCCCGTCACGGACGACGGGGATGGCACATCAGCAGACGCCGCCGCCGCCGCCGCCGCCGACTTCCTGGCGAGGACGCTTCTCGTCGCAGCCGGGAACTACCTCCACCACGGCGCCCGGCGTGAGCTCTCTGTCCACCCCCGTCCTTGATCTTCCTTCCGGCGGCAGCTGCGGATTGGTCTCGCCGTTGCTTTCCACAACGTTTAATCTGCCCTCGGGCTACAGCAACGACGAACTTTGTTTTGAGGAGTGGCTTCGGACGCAGAGCGACAGGGCGGTGAATATTCCGCACATTGGGGCGCTGGGCGGACGCCTTTCAGTGGGATTCTGCACGATGGAGCACTACGACGTGGACTCTTTGTACGGTATGGCACTGCGGCTTGCCGCCTCCGCCTCCTCGGAGGAGGAGCGGCGTGAGTTGCTGCCGCGGCTTCGGCACGCGTACGCCGCACGGTTGTTTCGCCAAGGCCGTTTTCTTGAGGCGGCGGCGCAGCACGGGTTGACGATGCAGGGTCCGCCCTACTTGAACACCCTGCTGCTGGAGTTCTCACGAGTTGCGGCAAATGACATGGAACCGCTCATCCTCTTGGTACTCCTGCGGCTGCGCGGGTACGCGCGGCGGAGGTCGGGCCTCGCAGACTGCAGCGTGGAGCTGAGTTGCCTCACAACATGGCTTGTCTCCCTCCTCCTCGAGCGCTGCAACCAAATTGGGAAGGAGCGACACGGCTGCAGGAGAGACGTTGCTGCCTCCTCGTTGGTGGCGGCGGCGGCCATGACCGAGGCCAACGCTGCCGCCGTGGGGGCAGCGGAGGCAGTTGGAGTGCACCGCCGCTCCCTTGAGATGGCGGCGTACCTTCGCCGCAAGTATAATCTGGTCAACCCCCGGCAGTTGCTGGAGGACGCCTTCACACGGTACGGCGCCTTTGTGGAGTGGCAAGCCATTTCCCCGGCCGTCTTTGGCATGGCAAGTGGAGAGCTGACAAATGCAATTTGTAATCGCTTGGGTCATCATGGGGAAGTGCTCTCGCGCCTCTTCCTGCAGCAAGAACAGCCACTGGAGGGGCTTCTGCACCTTGAGCGTTATGGGCTTGGCGGCCATGCCTCCGTCACTGTAGCAGCAGCAGCAGCAACAACAACAACAAAAACAGCCACAGCAATGCCCCCAACTGAGGATGTGTGCAACCAGCCACGGGAATCACTAAAAACCTTTTGGCTGCAGTATGCGTCACTGCTCATGCGGTGGTGCCCGTGTCGTTTTGTGCGACGCGGACTCATCCCGTTTGGCTCAGAGTTGGGGTTAACCCCCATGGAGCTCATTCCGGCGTTGTTGCTGTATGATCCACGGCGTAATGAGACTGTGTTTGAAGCCGAAGGCACGGTGGACGCGGTCCTGCAGCGGCATGCTATTGAGGACTCTTTGTTAGCCGAGGAACGGGCCCGTGCCAACTGCCACGCCGCCCAACTGTACCTGGAGCACGTTATTTACACAGAGGGTTACACAGATGAGTGCTTTTTGAATTTGTTACTGTACTTTACGGCAAGAGACGGAGATGATGCCGCCTTGACCCGTTTTTTTACCGAGTTGCGTGCGAACGCCATGGCGCATCGGCTAGAGGTATCGTATGCCTATCGTGTTTGTTGGCAGTTTCGGAGGCAGCTGGGTTGTGCCTGGACCTGCTTCATCACTGGAGGCTACGCGGAGGCCGTAAGGCTGGCGATGAAGCTGCGGACCGAGGAGCTTGCCATACACTTTATTCGCAGCATCAGTGGTGAAGGCGAGAAGGAGCTGCGCCACACGCTGTGGAAGCGGCTCGCCACCGCGGCGGCTAGAAGCAGAAGTGGCGGATCCGTACGTGCCCTGCAGCTTGTCGCGGAAAGCGAGGGTGACCTGGACGTCAGTGATGTGCTGCCGCACCTTTCCGGCGATGTGATGATGCAGGAGTTTCGTGAGGAGCTGCTCACAAGTGTCTCGATGTTCAGTAACACGCTGCGGGACATCAAGCAGACAATTGAGGTATCGTTGAAGGATGTCGCGGCCTTAAAACGAGAGACGGAGTGGGTTGGGCGACGTCCCCTGATCTTGCCGTCCTCGCAGCGCTGCGCGGGGTGTGGCAAGACCGCCTTGACGCGACCCTTTGTGGCGTTTAAGGGATGCCGACACGTGTACCACAAGACCTGCTTTGACGCAGCGCGTACAAATATCGAGGAGCAGCTCCGCTCTGCGAGGGAGTCGTCAACACCGCCGCCGCCGCCGCCGCTGCCGTGGCCTGCAGGGGAAGAGGTGCGGCGCAGCAGCCTTGCAGAGGCGGAGTTGGAGTGCGTGCTGTGCAGCCCCAGGTACCTGCGACTGTTGCTGACACTTCCATTATCGTATATTAACAATAATGCACCGGGCGGTTCATTACGACTGCCGTAGATGCATGTCCATTTCCTCTCAGAGTATTTATGTGCCTCCCCCCGTCTTGCACCCACTTTGGGACTGCATGAGGGTCTCCTCTAAACGACAAGAGGAAGTGGTGTGAGTGGGATTGCGTGGAAGTTTAGATTGAGAGCAGGGGAGGGGACATCTATTATGCCTTTATTTTTGTTTTTTTCCCCTCTGTTTGTTTGTTCGTTTTTTTTTTTTAGCATCGCACTGTCGATGTGAACTGCGCGCGAGGAGTTAAACAAAGTTCGTTGGCTCTTGTTTACAACCAAAAAACGGAAGAGGGAATAAAGTGCTGCTTCCATCGCGCTGACTTTTCCCTTGCTCTGCCCGCCGGCGCGGGAACTCGCGAAGGAGCACCTGTAGCAGGGCGGGGAGGCACGACAACCGCGGCACGAGCAACAAAACTAAGGGCGAGGGGAACACATGTCGTTGCAAAATTGCTTCGTCCGGCGCTGGAGCCGCAGCGGCGGGTCTCTCGTCGTCGCCCGCGTCGCGGCGGGGTGTGTCCTCCGGCATCCGAGGCGCCTGCACGGGACGCAGACCACGCCGTGGCAGTCCGAGGATCGCGTGGCAAACTGGTGCTGTAGGCTGTGGGGCCTCCGGCAGAGCCGCGGCGGCGGCGGCGGGGACGCCCCCCCGACGTCGCTGTCGCCTTCAACGTGCGCCGCGCCGTCGTCCCGCGGCGGTCGCGGGCGGGGGCTGCTGGGGGAGGTGGCGAGCCAGACGGGGCTGGCGGAGGAGCTGAAGGCGGTGATGGTGGGGGAGAAGGGGCGGCTGCCGGCGTCCGTCGTGGAGTCGGTGTGGGACGTGTACGAGTCGATTATTCCCCCCGGCGCGGCCTCCGACGTCGCCCGATTTGTGGCCCCCGCGGAGGAGGCGAAGTTTTTTGAGTTTATGGGGCTGCTAGCCGAGCTCGATGTCAACCTCGCCGACCTCAAGTCCGCGACAGAGAAGCTGGCCCGGTGCATCGCCGCCATTGAGGCGCTTCTGGCGGAGGTGCAGCGGGGCGAGGCGAAGGACACGACTGCCGGTGGAGGTGGTGGTGGTGGTGGTGCCGCCGCGGCCGCGCTTTCGGCAAAGTTAGTGGCGGCGAAGAACGACCTGCTGCGGCAGTGCGTTGCGGTGCGACACGCGGGATCGCCGGTGCACTACCTTTGGCTGAGGCAGAGTGCCTCGCTGGAGCGTGGGATGCAGCGGCTGATGGAGCTGCGGCGTTGCGTCACTTATTTCAAAGCCCGATGTCGTGAGCGACTCGCGGCTCTGCAGGGCACGACAGAGCCAGGCGTCCAAAAACCCTCCACGCCAGAAGTGACGGCGGCGAGGCGGGAAACTGTGGAGCTCTGGATCACGCGACAGCGTCATGTGTCTTCGATAGATGGGGCCCTGGAGTTTCTCTTCAGCGACTTTTTTGCAAAGGAGTGGCTGGTGATGGAGGAGTTGACTTGGCACTCCACCCCACCTGCGTTGCTGGAACAGGTGATTGCTGCAGAGGCGGTGCACCCCTTCGTGAACGGCTTGGCCGACATGAAGCAGCGACTGCAGCCGGCCAAGAATCGCCACCTGTTTGCCTTTTTCCACCCAGCGGTGGTGGAGGAGCCGTTAATCGCCGTTCAGGTGGCCCTGACGCACGGCATCGCTGGCTCCGTGGACCGCATCCTCGGACGGCCATCGCCGCTTGAGCGGCCGGGGCGGGGCGCAGGAGGCGCGTGCAGCGAGGACAGGCACGGTTGTGGCACCAGCGGCGGTTCGGTGGACACGGCCGTGTTTTACAGCATCAACTCCGCCCAGTCCGCGCTGCGGGGCATCAATCTCGGAAATCTGCTCATTAAGCGTGTGGTGCGAGAAATCGAGGCGGGGCTCAATGCGAAGCGACGGGCTGCGGGGCTGTCCCCCATCACGACCTTCTCCACACTCTCGCCGATTCCAGGCTACGTGGCCTGGCTGACCACGGAAGTGGCGAAGCTGCAGCAGCAGGTAATGCCGCGTCCTGACCGTCCTTCAGAGGCGGGCGCCAAATTCGCCACGCATCGCATCTTTGGTGACGCAGGCGGAGAGGAGGCGGGTTTGTTTTCGCAGCTACGTGTGGCGGTACTAGAATTCGTGAAGCGTCACCCTGAGACCCACGTTGAGTTTGCCGCACAGCTGCATTCGTCTTCGTCTGCGAGTGGCGCGGCGAACTTCTTCACCATGCAGTTTCTGCTCCGCCTGTTCCGTGCCTCCGACGCGGACGCAAGTAGCCGCCCGCAGCATCAGCGGCTACTTGCGTGGTGGGAGGACGACGCCTTTGCCAGCGCCATTGAGGCGCCGTTGCTGCGTTCTGTGGCCCACTACCTCTACAGGGAGAAGCGGCGGGGGCGTATTCTTGACCCTGTCGGGAACTTCCACATCTCCAACGGGGCAACGATGTGGCGGCTAAATTACTTGGGCAACTGCAGCGCCGCCGGCAGCCGCGAGAGTGCCACGGTGATGGTGAACTACCTCTACGACCCGGCACAGGTGAGTGCGCAGGTGAAGGCGTATGAGGTGCACCGCACGGTGCCTGTTGGGGAGAGGGTCCTGCAACACCTTGGCGTACAATGAGTGGCAGTGGGGCACGAAAAGGACGCTGCCCTCTCCGCGGGGTGTGATATATATATATATGTATGTATGTATATTTTATCTCTGCGGGTTTGTACGCGCTCAGGGAAGACGGGGTCCCGGGGGGGCGTGAGCTGGACGCGGAGAAAACCGCCAAACTTCTTCTGACGCCAATGCCGTATATATATATATATGTTGTCTTCTCTTCTCCCTTCGAAATGCCACGCTGCTCTCTCTCTCTCTCGCTTTCTTTTCCACATGTGCTGCGCATCGGTGCGCGTCTAGAGCACATTCTGCCCCCTGCAAAGCAAACAACAACAACAACAAAAAAAAAAAAGTGGTTGGGGTAGGGGCGAGATGTCGGTGTCGCAGCCCACGCCCGCCTCGCCTGAGGGCGAGGGAGTTGCCGCCATTCCCAGCCCTTTCTTCGCCGCCTCGGCGATGCCGGCGACGACCGTGCTTCGCCTTTCTTCCTCGGGGGATCAGCTGAGAGAGGCCGCGGAGGCGGTGGAGGTGACGCTACAGAACGACTCTTTCCTATCCGTCATGGAGACGGAAAAGGAGGCGGCGGATTCTACCGCCCACCGGGCTGCGGCTTCGTCCGCGAGCGGGTTCCTCCTCCCTGCGCAGGTGGTTTCCTTCGTGGATGTGTCAAAGAGGCAGAAACCCATGCCTTCGTTTTCGATGCAGTCTTCCTCTGCGCGGATGGCAAGGTTTCGGGTCAAGGGCCCGTTGTGTGGGCCGCGTGCCTTGCCGGCGCACGTGCAGGGCGTGTGCCGAGATCCGAGTACGCTGTCCATCCTGGACTTGGCGGCGATGGATCTCGAACAGCTAAAGAAGTCCTTCATCGCCCATGCGCAGGTGTTTGGTCGGGGTGACTTGCTTGACCTCTACAAGGTGGCGGGGGACGTGGCGCGGGAGGCGCACTACGCCGAGCGTGCACCGGAGCGATTGCAGCGCCGGGGGCAGATCCACACCCCGCGCAAGCACAACAAACGACTAAACGACATGGCCCTGGGGTCCACAAGTGCACTGAGTTGTCCAGAGGAAGTAGGGGCGGCCGACAGCGCGGCCTCCATAGCAGAGGACTCCATCGCAAACCTTCCCATGAATGAGTCCTCCATCCTTGCCAGGGGGCTTTCCTCGCAAAAGACGCGGCTCCTGTCGGTTTGGCTGTACGACCGCCTGGTGGAGCAGCAGCTCTGCGACTTCAGGAATCCGGCGTCGAAGAGCCCGCACGAGAGTCCGCAGGGGACGGCGATGTTGTCCCCGCGCTCCTTCCTTGGGCTTGGGACGAAGGCGATGATGGTGAAGCTCCGCGGCCCACCAACGCCCCAGCAGCTGGCGGCATTTGACATCTTCGATGAGCTCTCCCGACGACAGCGGGAGCGTGCGTCGGGCGCCGCGCTGGACGCCGCACACACGTCGGTTGAAAACATCCCCATGCCGCTTCCGGCGTTTGTGTACGTCTTTAGTCGGGCGGTTTTTCGCATGTGCTACCTGGGGCGCTTCCCGAAAGGTACATTTTCGTCCTTCTCCCCTTCCTCCTCGACACCCGCTGCCCCCAGCGCCTCCACGGGTGCCGCAGATGTGGTGAGAAAAGAGTCCCCCGCGGTCGCCTTCGCCGCCATCTGCAATCATGACTCTCTTCTGCAAGAGGCCGCTAATCTTCTTGAGGAATGCCGGCATGTTGTGATGCGTTTCTTTGAATTGTTTGACGCGGACAGGCGGGGCGAATTTGCCTGGTCGACCTTCACCGACATGCTGATGGAGCGGGTTGAGGTGCAGCATCGACTCATGATGGTCAAGGAGAGCTCGGAGTTGAATGTGCAGAGCGATGCGAGGGTGTTTGACGAGTACGTCTTGGAGCCCTTCCCGTCCGTGTTGCAGCGACTCGGCTACGTGGGGGCGGTGCTCGAGGTACGTTACAGTCGTTCGGCAATTGTTGTGGAGGGCCCGTACGACTTTGCCGTCTGCGACAGTGCCTACAACAGCCTCATTCAACGCAAACTGCTTGTCCGCTCGGCGGATGCCCTCTTTGCGCACCGCAAGGGGGCCCCGGAGGAGTGGAGCGCGGAGCGGTGGGAGCTGGCCGCGGAGTCCGCGGCGAATGCGCACCCAGAGCAAAAGTGCCAGCGCAAGATTGTACGCTACGAGGATGGCCGCAGCCCCAACGACGAGGCCGCCGCAAAGCTGCGGAGGAACGCCCCGGACGCCGACGAGAAGGAGGGCGCCGCGGAGGGCAATAGCCCGGCTGCGGGGAGCACCGAGGATCGCATTGATCGGCGCGTCAAGCCGTCGATGCAGGCGGCCCTGCAGGTGCAGGACGTCTCCCCCGAGTTGCCGACGACCTTTGTGACCCTCCACAGCGACCTCCTGCTGCGGTTTTTTAACATTGAGCAGCACATCTGGGTGATACCCGAGACGATTACGGTCTCCTGCACGGAGACGGTCACGTCGATGGAGTGGCACCCCGCCTCTCCCGAGGGGGAGATGACGCTGCGGTGGTACATCTTTCTCGGCACCCGCTCGGGATTCGTCTTGAAGGTGCACCTGCGGGAAATCATGCAGAAGATGCTCCACGTCGTCCGCGTCCGCGGCGACGTCATGACCACAGGCATGGCGGCGATGGAGACCGTCCGTGAGAAGCTGGGGCCGTACATTTTGCAGCGGCAGAAGGTTCATAACGAATTTGTGACCGCGCTCTCGCTGACGCCCGCCGGTGTGCTACTCTCCGCTAGCCTCGACGGCACGGTGGTGCTCAGTCGTGCGAGCAACCTGGCGCAACTGCGATCCTTCCGTGTCGGGAACGACGCCGGGGTGCGGTTTGCCTGCATCACGCCGCTGCGAAACATCATTGTGACCCTGAGTGCCGCGAATGGTCTCGCGTTGTGGGGGAACACGCACCAGAGCTCCCACGTCGAGCTCTACGACCCGATCTCGCCGCACTACTTTCCCATCATCTCCGTCACGGTGGATGAGAGCCTGGAGCAGCTCATCTCGGTCGATTCCAGCGGCTACGCGAAGGTGTGGAGTCTGCGAACGAGCCTCATCAAGATGTCCTTCTACGCGGTCTCGCAGGAGGCCTTCTCCGCCTTTGGTCACATGTACTCCACAGAGAACAGGCTGGAGCACAACGGCCACCGCCTCTTCGACGTGGATGAGACGGACAAGAGGCGATCGCGTCTGACTTACGCCGGCGGACAACATGGAGCTGCAACAGGCCTGCAAACGGCCCTTGCCGCCGTGGAGGCAGCGACGAAGGCGAAGATTTTTTCGCCCGCGCGCTACGTCGCCTACGATGGGCTCTCACGGAGACTGTTTGTTTCTGGCGCCAAAAACAACGTGGTGTGCGTCTTTGTAAGCGGACTGACGTCGAGCAAGGCTCACTCCAGCCCAATTTGCCACCTTTCCGTGTGCGAGCGGCACCGTGGGGTCTTAAGCGCGAGTAATGCCGACTGCCGACTGTGGAACTACAACACGGGCACCTTGTCGCTGGGTCTGAAGGCAAACAGCCCTGAATTCATCATGGTGCGCATGGCGCCCGTATATAGTACCCGCGCGACCTTCACGACGAGTGCCCAACTTGTGGCCTTTAGCGGGGAACCCGACCTGCACACTCTGGACGCCTGCAAGCAGCCGTCGCCCACGTTGGGGGACGTTATAAGCGCCGTCTACGCCCGGGCAGGCGCGCAGCGCCGCGAGCGGAGCGCGAAGCGGATACCGAATCGGATGACCTCCGCGGACAAGATGCGCCGAGACGCGGTACGGTCGAAGCTGAACAGGAATGCCGCTGGCGGCGTGGTGGCATCGAGTAGCATGGGCGCTGGCGCGGCGGTGGCGCCGGCGGCCGCGGCGGCGCTGTCGTCGTCTGCAGCTGCCATGGGTGTCGGCGGCGTTGGCGATGCAGGGAGTGGGATGGATTTCGGCAGCGCGTTCGCTGCGGAGGACAATTTTCTGAAGAATCAAGGCACAACGTACCGCATCCTCTGTGCTCACGCTGACCCACAGGAGCGGTACATCTTCTACGCCCTCAACAACGGTGACATTCGCGTGCATCAAAGCGACTCTGGGCGACTGTCAAAGACGCTTGTGACGATGCCGCCCTCCACTGACCTTATTCTCACGGCGGTGGTGCAGTGCCGGCATCTGTTTACTGCCGCTAAGCGGTATACAGAGCAGGCCTACAGCCGCTTTACTGACGACGCAGAGACCTCGCATGGGTTGACAAGCACGCAGATGCGTGTGCATGAAATCGCCTTTATTCTTCACCGTCTCTTGTACCATGAAAAGACGCTTGCGCTGCAGCAGGAGGAGGAGTTCTCTATTCACAAGGAGGCGGTGGGGATGATGACGATGCGAGACGCACATGAGTTGGGGGTGGTGTACGCCGACGGGGTGATTCGCTTCTTCCCACTGGTTGGCAGCAGCGTGCAGGCGCACCGCATTATCATTCCCGAGTTTCTGGTCTCCCGGGCAACGTCGTACATGCGGTTGGAGCGAAGTCTGCAGAAGAAACTGGCGACCGTTTCGCACGAATTTGTGCATGCGAAAGATGTGACGGAGGCCGCGGAGCCGCAGTTGAATTTTATTGTGGAGGCGGACGCCGTGAGCTTCGTGACCGTGAGCAACACACTTGGGTACGTCTGCCTTGTCCAGGTCAACGGCCGCATCTCCATCATGGACATGCGAACCCAGACGGGGTCGGTGGTGCAGGTGTTTACCGTCTCGGGTGAGGTCTCGGCGGTGGCCTTCCTTGGCGCCTACCCGTGCCTGGTGGTGGCGGACACGCAGGGCACCATCAGTTTTTTCCTCGTCAGTGGTGCCGCCATGCTGAACCTGCTTGAGGACTTTTACAAGTCCCTGCTTTTGCATCGACGGCACCAGCGGCCGCAGCATCCACTGCCTGTGGGACAGGAGAAGCAAAGCGATGACAGCTACAAAAGCAGCAGCGGGTACTCGCTGCGCATGTGGTGGTTTCACGTCCCCGGCACGCCCACGGCGCTCCACTTTGACCCGGTGCACGGCGCCCTGTACATTGGCACGCGGCAGGGGTACTTCTCCTCCTACCTCGTGCGCAACCTCATTGTGGCGTTCGACCTCCACCCCATTCTTCCCCCCAACCGAGGCGGGAAGTCGCATGAGCCGCACACGCCCCCTGCACGGCAGCACTACGACTCTAATGAGCAGCGGTTGTTCAACGTGCTGCTGGTGTTCTTTGGTATCACCCCGGAGCGCGTGATGCTGTACCTTGACGGCGAACGCGCCGCACTGTCGGCCTACTGGCGCGCCACCAGACCCGGCACGGGCAATTCCGCCCCCTCCGTGTCGTGGCGAGGGGCGGCTGATTCGACGCCGCCGCTGCAAGTGCACCGCACCCCCTCGCCCGGGGGCAACTCGATGGACAACACCGGCAGTGGCACAAGCCCAGCAGTGACAAGGATGTGGAGAAGTTCACTTTCGTGGATCTTTGAGGCCTGTAAAGCGCTGTTTTTCCCTCCAGCCCCCTCCACGCCGTCGCGGGATGCCTCCGATGCGGAAAATCTCCCTTTTGACATCCGAACCGTGACGCTGTCAGATTTGCTGATTGGGACGGCCATCCTCCGCCATGCGCTGCTGCTGATGTCAATGCTGCCGAGCTACTCCGCCACGATGAAGCCGGCGACGGGGAAGGTGTCCGCCGCCGCCGCCGCCGATCACCCCGCGGCGGTTTCACTCACCGTAAGTGATATACGCCACATTCGTCAATGCATCGTGGAGGAGATTCTCTACCGGAAAGGGATGCAGGGCGGCGAACAGGAGCGGTACGAGGCCGCGACGGCGGGTGACGTGCAGGGGGACCTCCATCACGCGGTGGAGGAGGAATTTGACCCCGAGACGGTGCGTGAGAACTCGTACGTCCTTCCCACCGCCATCGCCGCAAACTGGGTCGAGCTGCTCTTTCGCCGGCATGTGGTGAATGCCGCGAACGAGTCCCCACTATCCCTGTTGTCGCCAAGCGGCATCTTGGAGCGTGCCCGGTGCGAGCGCTATGAGCGGTGCAAGCTGCTCCAGCTTCAGTGTGAACTGGAGCAGGACGCACAAAAGGAATTTATTGGGTGCTCATGGGCGTTAAACCCAACAGCTGGACGCAGCACCGCAATTACTGTGGACTGGGACGCGTTTCTGGAGGGCAATTTGACGCATCTCATCGAGGAGGTCTTTCGCCGCCGCCGCGGCATGACGAACGTGACTGAGGAGGAGATGTTAAACACCGTCGACGACGGGGGTGGCGTGCGCTGCATCACGACACGGCGGAATGGCATGGTGTTTGTCGGTAGTGCCAACGGCTCCGTCGCCGTCTGGACCCCGTACGGCGCGGCGCGGCTGCAGGAGCTGTGCCCAAGCATGCTGCTGGGGGAGAGCCTTCGTCACCTGGGGAGCACGTTAAAGGCGCGGCTGGCGCAGGAGGTGGCTCGTGCCACGCGGCGCCGTCAACGCGAGGCCTACGCGGCATCTTTGCGCGACGCCAAGGGACACGACACCATGCTGCGGAACCTGAATGTGAAGTACAAGGCTGCCATGATGAAGCAGAAGAAGGCGCGGGCGCGGGTTATGGAGCAAAGCACGACTGGATTGAGCGCGCTGCTTATGGATGCCACCACATCTCTGCACAGCACCGCGCCATCGCCCCAATTCAAAAGCGGCTACTCATCCCGTGCCTCCTTGATCTCCCTGGCGTCGACCTATGATAAGGCAAACGTCCTGCTCGAGAAGGAAAAGGAGGTTCTCTTGGCCTTACTGAATAGCACCCCGGCGGAAGCTGCGGAGAGGGGACTTCTTATTGAGGACCTCTACTTTTTGCCGATGCACACAGCCATGTTATCTGAGCTTGAGGAGTTTGATTTGGATGCGTATGGCCTTGCCGTGGATCTGGCACTGGCGCGTCTGCAACGCGACGTCTGCGGTGACGCTGCCACGGAGGAGGCAGAGGGGGAAACTCTGGTCGACAGCAGATGTGGCAGTGTCATGGAGGTACGCTTCAACAGGCCCGGCGATGAAGGCAACGTCGCCTCGACGCACGCCAGCAGTTTTCGCTGGGGTAGTAGTTGGGCGGCCGGGGGAGAAGCTGGCGACGAGGCAAGGCACGAGGAGTTCAACACGTTTTTACTCACCGCACACGAGAAACTGGAGGCCGCCTTCTGCGCAGAGGAGCTGTCGCACATGCGGTGGAAGCAGGCCCCGCCTCAACCGGCCCCCTCTCGACGCGTCTCTAAGCGTCAACGGAAGCAGCTTGGGTCATCCATCAATTGCCGGGAGTGGCGACGCTCGGTGTTTGGCCAGTACACCGCGGAGTTTTCGCAGGCGAGCACCATTTCTTGGACGTTGCCGCACGAGCGAAACCTTCCCGCCTACGCGCGGCCCGGACGATGGCTGGGGCCCGGCGTCATTACGGTTGCCGTCTCCACCCGACACCTGCGGCATCTGATGGGTTGTTTTGGGTTGGAGCTGGAGCGCATGGCGGCCGCGGCCAGTTGGCACGGCGTGGATGAGGCCATCCAGGCCATGATTACACAAAGCAGGGGATTGCTATCGAACGAGTCACTTGCCGGGCTTTCACGATCTCTCACGCGCCTGGTATCGCGGCATGTGCGAGGGGGCTTTGGCCCCCAAGCCTCATTTTATGCAAAGCGAGAGAAGAAGTATGAGGCGCAGCCGTCGAAGCCCGCCGCACTGCTTATGGAGCCCCTCCTGCTCATAGCGTCGAACCACAAGGGTGATACCGAGAGCAGCATCAATGAGTGCTTTCAGCAGCCCTCGGGTGAGTCACGCACCCCCCCGGTGCATGCGTTCACCTCGGACGGAATGGACACGACCGGGAGGCTGGAGGAGCTGGGGACCGGGTCAAAGGAGCGGTTCACCTTTTTTCTCACCGAGGCCCGCGAGGGATCGCCCTCCGCGGCATCGGCGGCGGCGGCCTCAAGCACGCCGTTTGCGGGTGCTGGAACCCGTCAGCCCTCTCGACAGCAGCAGAGGAGGGGGTCAAATTCTTCCCTCTCCTTGGGCACCGACGACGACAACTTCGACGCCGCGCCCAGGGTGTTGATGCAGTGGTCCCTGCACAAGAAGGATCACTCGCACCGAGCCAGACTTTCCCGGACGGGTCGCGTGACGGCAGACATCGCAAGGCCCCCATCACTGCCCAGCTCCTACAAATCGTCTTCTGCCGCTCCCCGTGAGAGCGGCGAGCACTGCGCCAACGCGTCCAGAAACACCGTAGCTTTGGAAGCTCCGTTGGGTACGCGACCCCACTCGCTGGAGACGTCGGTTTCCGCCACCGCCATGCAGGAGGGCGGCAAGCAACCAAAGGGCCCTTCAGCCCCACAGACTGGCTATAGGCGTTTATCCAACAGCGTATCGCTGCCGTCGCTAAATCCGAACGAGATGCGGGCCCCGCCAAAGCGGCTGCAGAGGGAGGCGGCGCCGTTGTCGAAGACCCAACCGCAGCTGTCTGCGGTCACCCACCGTCCACGGCGTCGCGGATAAGCAGGTTGATATGCGGACCAACTGACAAAAACCAAAGGGGCAGAGAGAGAGTGTGTGTGTGTGTGTGAAGTCAATGGACGAGGGCGATCCTTATTGGGCACGCGTAACCCTTCAACGCGCCGCACGTGCAGAGCAAGGCGGGTGGTGATAAACGGCGAGCAGCCCGGAATGGAACTAGACTCTCCGACCCTTACAGTTTTATTGTCTCTGGTTGTTGGTGTCTCTTCAGTCGGCCACATTTGCCTGCAGTACCTGGTGGTGATCCGACAGCATCAACAACGACGACCAACGACAATTGCAGAACAAAACGAGGCAAAAATTAGAACGTTTGCGGCAATAGACAACAACAAACAGTAATGAGGTTTTCTTTCCTCTTTTTCTCCCTCACGTTGTTTATATAACTTTCATGTCTGCTTTGTTATTATTCCCTTTTATGTATATTTTGCTTTGCATGGCTACAGTTCACCCCGACTTGATCTAGCCGCATCTCCCTGAGATGGTCAGCAGTGTGTATATGTGTGTGCTATTTTGTTTTTATTTACAGTTCCTCTGGGGAGCGGTGAAGGATGTTACCTGTAGCAGGTAGTACGAGGCTGTGGAGAAGTGAGTATATATATATATATATTTGTGGCTGCGTGTCTGTTAAAACGCCGAAAGTGGCGGTTTATATATCTGCTGTTTACTCTAGCCCCTTGATGATGCATATTTCTACTCCTTCTCCCAGATCCCTTGTGTATTTGCCTTGCTGACTCCTCCTCGGTCGTAAACGCTGCCAATGTGAAGGGTCTCCGCCCCCTCCTCCTCCTCCTCGCTCTTGTTTGTCGGCTGCTGCTGGTGCTGCTGCTAGTATTGCTTCCCCGCGCGTGAGGGACCTGCAGGCGCTCACGCAAGTGAAGCGCCCCTGCCGCTGCTCAGTTCCACTCTTTTTGCGCGTGTGTGTGTGTGCGCTTCATGCCTTTTCCTTTTCCCCCATTATCTCCACCCGCTTCTTTTGCTGCAAAGTGGCGTTTAAATAT